AGCTAGTAAGTGTCAAGTGTCTGATGCCACATTTGAACTCAGGTCTTCCTTAATCCAAGGCCAGTGCTCTATCTACTGTGCCACCTAGCTGCCCCCTACTCCCCACTATATTAAGAAGAGGCTATGGTGTAGAGGCAAGTGGTATGTTTGATCAGCTTTGGAAGGCCTGAATACAAACTGTTTACTGACCCAGATGCTTTCCTCTGTCACCTACAATCCAAGGTCCCCAGGGGGAAAAAGTTTATTTTACTTATGAGAATCCTACCCATTATATGCAATACACATGGACAAAAGTGTATTTTTCATCTACAGCCATAAATTCATAGTACAAAAGAGTCTTCTAAATATATACATAAAAAAAAAATTCCAGAAAGAAATGGATGAATATTGATACCATAATAAGAGCAATGCTTGGTGACAGCTATTGGTTACTCACTCCTTTAAAAAAGTCAAAGATGGTAACTGGCTAGGGCTTGTGTGGAAATGAGAGGTGGTTGGTAGTAATAAGTTGACCTGCATTGACATGTTTCCAAAGAGCAGTGTTTGGAGTAATAATCTGTTGAAGCTGTCCCTACTAATTTCTTACTAATAGCGAGCTCAATCATCATAGGATCTCCACCCTGTTTCTTTCCCTGTCTTATGGCCAGCAAACTTAGACCTTCTGCTCTCCTTATTCCTATAATTTGGAGTTGCCACTCAATAAGGCAAAGATCTTTTTGACTGCTGTGTCTCTCCATGCTATGAGCCCTGTCTACTTCATCCCTTTCTACTACACAGTCTATTTCTTACCTCTGATTGGTCATGTCATTGGGTCCCTTGGAAATCTGTACCCTTGCAAAGAATTAAGAAATTAGAGACAGGACACCAGGCAGCAGTCCAGGTATGAGTTGATGATACCTAGGTTGTAAGACTGTATGACTAGGAGAATGGGGATACGCTTGACAATTGGAAAGTTAGGAAGGAGGGAGGGTTTTGGAGAAAAAGATAATGAATTCAATTTTAGATGCATTAAATGTAAGATTTCTGCTGAAGATGTGAGACTAAGTGTAAGGAAGGGGGTAAAGGCTGGGTAAATAGATCCAGGAATTATGTCTATGAAGATGACAATTGAATCCATAGGGGCCAATGAGATCACCAAGTTAAATAGTATAAGAGAGAAGATTAAAAGGTCCAGGACAGAGTCTTAGGGGACACCCACATTTAGCATGAAGATCCAGCAAAGGACACTGAGAAGAAGAGGTCAGACAAATAGTAGAACCAGGAGAGAGTAGTGTCATGAAATCCTAGAGAGAAGAGACTATCAAGGAGAAGAGGGTGATCAGTAGTGTCAAAGGCTACAGAGAAGTCAAGAAAGGATGAGAGTTGAGAAAAGGCCATTAGATTTGGCATTTAAGAGTTATGGTAGGGGCAGCTAGGTGGCGCAGTGGATAGAGCACCGGCCCTGGAGTCAGGAGGACCTGAGTTCAAATCTGATGTCAGACCAAACACTTGATACTTACTAGCTGTGTGACCCTGGGCAAGTCACTTAACCCCAATTACCTTGCAAAAAAAAAAGTTATGGTAACTTTGGAGAGTACTGTTTTGGTTAATGATGGGGCCATACGTCAGATTGCAAAGAATTAAGAAATTAGAGGAAAGGAAGTAAAGGCACCTATGATGACCTTCTCAAAGATTTTGGCCATGAAGGAGAGAGAGATATAGGTCAATAGAGGGAGTAAATAGATTAAGTAATGGGTTTTTGAGGATGGGGAGACTTAGGCATCTTTATAGTTAATAGGGAAGTAGCTAGGAAACAAGGAAAGATTGAAGATAAGGGTGAGGATGATGGAAGATGTGATCTGTTGGAGAAGATTGGATGGAATGGGATCACTCATGCAAATGCTTTCACAAGGAAAGCTATCTTTTTTATGTGAGACAGGAATGAAGGAGGAAATGGTGGAGGAAGGTATTGAAGTGATGAAGATGAGGAGGAGGGGAGAAGAGGAGCTCAAGGAGAATGGCCTCAATTTTGAGGCCAAGTTCTCAGCTGAGAGGGTGAAAAGGAGCCATGGGAAGTTTAAGGAGGAATGAAAAGGCTTGGAAAGCCATTGTGGTGTGCTGTGTGATAGTGAATCAATTAGGGAAGTAGAAAGGAATGTCTTGCAGCAATGAGGGCCGGCTGGAATTATGGAGTATACATTTGTAGTGGATGAAGTCAGCATAGTTTTGTGATTTTCTCTAGCTTCATTTAGCAGCACATGAACAAGAGACAAGGTAACAGATAGTGGGGATAATCTAATGCTAGGGCTTGGTAGGACAAGATGGGTGATTAGTAAAAAGTGGAAGAAGACTTAAGAGAAAAGGATAATGTAGAGATGAATTGGCTTACCAAGGGGCCTAGATGGGAAAGGAAAAAGAGTGTAGACAGTACTGGATGACCCGGAAAGAACTGAGGGATGGAGAGATTGGAGGTCACAAGGAGGACAAAAAACGGAATTAGGGGTTGTAAGACAGAAGGAAAAATAGAATGACTAAAGACTGTCATCAAACAGAGGAATTTCAGCTTACAAACATGAAAGCTGTTTTATTTGTGTGTGATGACAAGATCAAGTGTATGACCATCTTTGTAGTTGAGGTGAATGGAAGAGTAAGTCATAAGAAATGAGTAAGTTGAGGAATGGGGAGGTTAGGGTATTTGAGGTAGTATCAATATGTATGTAGAAATCTCCTAGTATAAGGGCAGATGTTGGCAGGGAAGATTCTGAGCTAGGTGCTGAACTTACTGTGGAAGGAAGAAGGTCTTGAAGGTCAGTAGATAATAGCTACCAGAATCTTGATTACGTGATAGATATGGACTGATTGAGACCTTAAGAAGGAGAGATTACTGGGGGTGGTACAAGTCGGAGAGTCCAGAAGTGAGGAGCAAGGAGTATTTGCTTCTGACTCCACTACCAGTGAGTTAGGGGTATGAGTGAAAGGGCAACCAGGGCTGGAAAGGGTGGCCAGAGAAGGAAGCTATGTCAGCAGGAGAGAGCCAGGTCTTAAGATGATGAAAGGAGTGAGGAAGGAAAAGGTGTAAGATGAAGGCAAATTTGTTACTAAAGGAGCAGGCATCTTGGAGAACATAGTGAAAGGAGTGAGTAAATCTTAAGTGGGATGTGTGTGTGAGTTTGGGCTGAGGGGGATGAAGACAAGGGACCGGGAAGTGGGGGGATTGGGAATGGGATTCATACAATGAAAGCCAGGGGTCCAGGATCACTGAGATGAGGAAGGTATGATAAGGGTGAGAGTATGCTAATCATTGAGGAATGAATTCAGGCTGGTTATCATTGTTTCCAGGAAATCAGAGAAGAGGTAGGGCAGGCCGGGTATTCTTAGTGGGCATTATTGATGCTTTGCTGCCCTTTGGATTTAATTCTTTATAAAAGAGTAATGTAACAGAGGCTGCTCTGGGCATGAAAATAAGTCTGGGTTCATCTGCCCAAGTCCTAAATGAAATCAGTCAGTGGGAATAATGAGAATCAGGCTTTGTGTTAAAAAATTGTATTTACCCTTTTCTCTGAGGCTTTAGGTCTAGGGGTGGAGGCGGGGAGTGCTATTTAGTGTATCTATAGGCAGAGATGCTAGGCTTCTATGAACCTGAGGAGAAAAGGAGCAGGGAAAGGAGGTCCCTAGGGCTAAAAGGGAAGGTGAGGTCATGGGGAACATAACTGGATTCATGCTGACTTAGGCAGGCAGAGGGGAGTTTGATTGGGCTCAAAGATGTCCAGAAAGTGCTGTGTCTGCCTGAAGCACCCTATGCGCTACAATCATCTTTTTGTTTGTTCTTCTGAAGCCTGCAAATAATCCCCTTCAGGCAGAGAGGCAACATCTGGCTGGAGCCTACTTTCTGGCCCTAGCCTTTCTCATAATGCTTCCAGCTGTGCTTTGGCAGCAGCTCAGGGCACCCAGGGAATTGGGCCTGGCATTCAAATCCTATTTATCCTCCAAGACTCAGCTTAAATCCCATCTCTTCCATGAAGCCTTCCCAGATTCCTCCATCACTCATTGTATAACAAAAGATCCTTGGGGCAGCTAGGTGGTGCAGAGGATAGAGCACTGGCCCTGGATTCAGGAGGACCTGAGTTCAAATCTGGCCTCACACACATTAACACTTATTAGCTGTGTGACCCTGGGCAAGTCATTTAACCCCATTGCCTAGCCAAAAAAAAAAAAAGGTCTTTGAGGGTGGACCTGTTTCATTTTTGCCTTTGTATTCCCAGTGCCTGCTACAGAGTAGCTGCTTAATAAATATTTATTGATTGTTTGATCTGTTCGAAGACTTCTCCGCTTTTGTCACTTTTAGCTGTCCCAAATCATTTAGAGGGGCAGCTAGGTGGTGCAGTGGGTAGAGTGCCAGGCCTGGGGTCAGGAAGATTCATCTTCCTGAGTTCCCATATGGTCTCAGACACTTACTTACTATGTGACCCTGTTTGCCTCTGTTTCCTCATCTGTAAAAAGAGCTGGAGAAGGTGATGGTAAACCACTCCAGTATCTTTGCCAAGAAAACCCCAAATGGAGTCATAAAGAGGTAGTCACAACTGAAACAACTGAGCAATACCAACAAGAAAATAACATGAGGGCCAAGGAGGAAAGGATAACGCTGACTGGGGAAAGGATGAATCAGGAGAATCTATATGGTGGAGGTGATAGCGTCTGAAGTGCAAAATGCTACCAAAGAAAGAAGAATTCAAAGGTGTTTAAGCATAGGGAACAATGCGAGCTATGAGATAGAAGGGGAAAGTATGTATGGATGATGACTAGTCATCCAGTCTGTCTAGGGTGTAGAGTAGGTGAAACTGAATACTATGAAATATGGTAGAAAGATAGAGTGGGCCTCAAATGCCAGACTAGGAAGATGGGCAATTGGGAGCCATGGAAGGAATTTGAGCAGAGGAGTTATATGACCAGATCTGCACATTAAGGCAATTAACTGAGCAGGTGCATAGAAGATGCATTAGAGGGCATGATTGTTCACTTACCACTTCTTCCCACTGATTTCATGTTGCTGCACAGTGTAGCCAAAGAAGGCTTCTTTGGAACCTGGGATGATCCGGGGCCTCTTGGTGTCCATGTTGAAGGTACTGCTGAACCCTGCAGTGAAGAGAGAAGATGGGACAGTTAGCCCTATACAGAATAAGAAAGAGAGAGCAGGAATAGGACAGAGATTGATAGGCTAAGACCCCTATGTCTAGGGTAGTATATTTGAGGGCACATAGTAATTTTATCATTCATTCATTCAAAGTAACTGTTATTTATTCTGATTCTCTTTAAGGTGAACATCTTGGGAGGTAATAGTCATTAGCTGGGCTCTTCACGATCATGGGACTCCTCTACAGCCCCTTCTCCCTCGGGTTCTAGAGAGGCCAAGATTTTGAGCCCAGCTGCTAAGAACACAATTACACAACAATGGTTCTGAAAGGAACCTTTTTTTCCCTTATTCTTCCCATTCGCTCCTGTTCCTTCCTTCTTCTTCCTCCTATTTTCCCCCTTTCCCTTTCTTCTTCATCCTTTTCCATCCTTTTTACCTTCTTCCTCCTCCAATTTTGTCTTCCTCTTTCCCTTCTTTCTTCTCCCCTTAATCCTACTTTTGCTATTGCCTTTCTTCTTTGGTTTCCCCTTCTCAGCATGGTGCAAGGAAAAGACTTCTGGATTTAAATCCAGAGGACCTTGGTTTAAATATAGCCACATGCTTCCTGGGCAAGTCTTTGGGTCCTAAGGTTTGCTCATCTATAAAATGAGGGGGGTTGGCTAAGATGATTAATATGGTCCCTTTTCAACTCTAAACCTATGATTATTTTTTATTCTTCATTTCCCCTTTCTTCCTTTTCTTTTCTTGCCTTCCTTCTTCCTCTTTTTTCTATTTCCTTCCCCCCTCTCCTTTCCCTCATTCTTTTTCTTTTTCTTTCCCCAGCCCCTTCCAAATGGCATTCCTAGTCCCCGGAAGAGCCTGAGAACCGAGTTTCAACTTCAGATCCCAAACTTGGATCATCCCAGGGCTGTGAGATGCACTGACTGGGATGTCCTCATTATGAACTATTTTGAAAAACATTGTTTAGGCTTCTGCAGGCACAGCTGTTCAGCTAAGGAGGGGAAGACAAAGAAGTGAAAAAAGTAATTTAACCCTTCTCCTCTCCATTATTTCACCCTTTGAATAAACGAATTCATTTTTCTTGACGTATGTGCATTGAGCATTTAAGACCATTGACCAACATCTCCTTGGCGCTGCCCTCTATGTGATCACTCCTCCATCTCCTTGCCTGAATCACCACCTGTATCCTGCCTTCTAACTGTGAGTGTACTCTATGTGATCACTCCTCCATCTCCTTGCCTGAATCACCACCTGTATCCTGCCTTCTAACTGTGAGTGTACTCCGAAGCTCTGTTCTTGGCCCTCTTCTCTTTTCCCTCTATACTCCTCTCACTTGGTGGTTTCATCAATGCCCATGGGTTGGTTCAATTATCATCTTTGTGGATGACTCTCAGATCTTTATATACAGTCCTAGTTTCTCTCCTGGGCTTCAGTTCCATATTATTATCTGGGACATTTCAACCTGGATGTCTTATAGGCATTTCAGACTCTACATGTCCAAAACAGATATGGTTTTCCCTAAACCTACTCTTCTACTGAACTGTCCCATTTCCATTGAAGGTATCAGTATCCTTCCAGTTACCTAGGTCTACAACCTTGGCATCATCCTCCCTCTACATATCCAGATAGCCCCCCAAGTCTCGTTGATTCTATGTCTACTACGTCTTTCATATTTGTCCCCTTCTCTCTACTCAAATGGCTACCACCGTGGCTCAGATCCTCATCACTCCTCACCTGAACTATTGAAATATCCTAATTGGCTTCTCTGCCTCCAGTCTCTCCACACTCCAATCAGCTACCAAAGCGACTTTCCTAAAACTTATGTCTGTGTCCTTCTCTTGCTCAACAAACACCGATAGTTTCTGATTGCCTCTAGGATCAAATACAAATCCATCTGTTTGGTATTTAAAGTCCTTCACAACCTGGTTCCAACCTACCTTTCCGGCCTTATCATACATTGCTTCCCTCCATGTACTCTTTGGACCAGACTGCCTTTTTTGCTGCTCCTCTCACATGACATCCTCTCTCCCATCTCTGGGTTTATACATGAGCTCTTTCCCCATGCCTGGAATCCACCGCCTTCCTCACCTCTGCCTCTTAGAATCTTGAGCTTCCTTCAAAGCTCATCTCAAATACCACCTTCTGCATGTGCCCCGCCCACCCCCCCAGCTGCTAGTGCCTCTCCCTCAATGACTTTGTGTTTATTTTGTATATATCCTGTATCTAATCATATATGGACATGCTCTTTCCTGATAGAATGTAAGTTTTTTGAGCTAGCTCAGGACTCTCATTTTTGCCATTATATTCCCAGGGGCAGAGAAGGTACCCAATAAATGCTTATTAATTGAAGAGATTGGATGGCTGTTAGTATAGTATGTGTGGGGGGTAGGGTTGTGGGCACATATGTGTATGTACATGGTAGGATTGGGCATACATATGGAGGGCTGATACAGCGAGTGTGTGTGTTTGTGTGTGTGTGTCTGTTAGGGTTGGAATGGTAGTAGAGTATGTTTATACGAGGGGTTCAAATAAGAAGCTAGTAGCAGAGTGTGTATGTGTATGTGGTAGGGTTGGTGACTCATACAGAGGGCTGGTACTAGAGTATATATGTGTGTGGTAGAGTTGGAAGTTCATATGGGCTGGTAGTAGAATATGTGTATATTTGTGTGTGTGTGTAGGTAGGGTTAGGGGGTTCATATGAGGGCTCATAGGAGAGAGAGAGAGAGAGAGAGTCTGTGTGTGTGTGTAGAGTTGGGGGTCTGAATGGCAGATCCAAAAGTTTTAGATAAGTAACTTGTTTTGATAAAATCGTCATGTCTTCATTAGTCAATCCAGGAAGTCTCAGAATCTACAATCCTGCATATGTTTATACACACACACACACACACACACACACACACACACACACACACACACACACACTCATCCTCCTACCTTCCTGAACAAAATTCTTGAGGGATAGCATTCCACAGGCACAATTGTTAACTAGAGCCCTGGATTCTTCCTGGGTTTTCTGGGGACACCACACCGCATTACCCATTCCCTCTTCTACCCTAATCTGTCCAAGAAGGAGAGCTGGAATGTAAACAGGAGGAGAGCATGCCACTACCAGGCAAGGAAATCTAGGCCCTCCCTCATTGTCCCAATCCGTAGCCTTGGATACTCTATGGAAGAAAATTGTGAAGCTGGAGAAGCTTGTCTTTAGAGATTTCCATCTCCCCTTTCTGTGACCCATTTCTCCTCTTCTTCTGCCTCCTCCTAGCTGCAAGTGACTCCTTTCATATTGTCCGAGAAGTCAACGATAGGTCGGGATAGTATAATGGAAGAAGAGCACATTTGGAGTTGGGTGGTCTGAGTTTGTGTTCCAGATATTTACTAGCTGTGTGACCATGGGGAAATAATTTAATCCCTTTGTGCTTCATTTTCCTCATCTGTGAAATGGGGCAATAAAACTTGCTTTGGAGAAGGCAAAATGGTGGAGAGAGGGTGGGCCTTAGATTTAGAAATTTCAGGGTTCACACTTTCTGGGTGAATAAGGGTAAGTTACTTGATCTCTTAACACTTTTGGTAACTCTTTTATACTGTAAATTGTAGCCCAGTTACTCATCAGGGAGTTTCTTTATTGGGCATATGATGAGATCATAAGTTTGAACCCCAAAATTAAGAAGGACCATTTGTCCATCCCAGGTGGTTTAGGAGAAAATAGCATATAAACCTTTAATACATGAATGCATTATGAGTTATTATAAACTTATTCATATAGAGGTATTCGGTAATGAGTATGAGCATAGCTTATATGTGTCCCTGTGTTTGTATAGATACATATTATATGTGTGTGTGTGTGTGTGTGTGTGTGTGTGTGTGTGTGTGTGTGTAGACACACAGATGTGTTATATATAAGGGAGTGAAAGGAATAAGCATTTATGTAGAATCTACTTTCTGACATGTACTGTACTAAATGCTTTTAAAAATATTGTATTGAGGGGCAACTAGGTGGCACAGTGGATAGAGCACCAGCCCTGGATTCAGGAGGACCTGAGTTCAAATCCAGACTCAGACACATAACACTTGCTAGCTGTGTGGCCCTGGGCAAGTCATTTAACCCCATTGCCTAGCCAAAAAAGCCCCATTGGTATTATTTGAGCCTCAGAACAACTCTCTGAGGTAGATGCTATTATGATCTCCATCTTACAGTTGAGGAAACTGAGGCAAGCAGAGGTTAGTTGACTTGCTCAGGCTCACACAGCAATAAGTGTATGAGGCCAAATGTGAACTCAGGTCTTCCTGAGTCCAGGCCTAGCACTCTATCTACTCTGCTACCATCTGCCTGGAATTATAATCCACATACTATTTTGGAGCTAGACAGAGACCTTAGAGATCATCTAGAGAAGGGAACTGAGGCCCAGTAAAGTTAATGGAGTGGTGCAGTGAATGGGAGCACCAGGCTTGGAGTCAGGAAGACCTGGGTTCCAGTGTAGCCTCAGACACTTACCAGTCAGTGTGACCGAAGTCAATTGGCCTCTCTTTGTCTCAGTTTCCTCAAATGTAAAATGGGGATAAGCATAGCACCTAGATTCCAGGGCTGTTGTAAGGCTCAAATGAGATAATAATTGTAAAGTGCTTAGCACATAGTAAGCATATTTGTGTCACTTATTATTATTAAGTGACTTGTCTAAGGTCACATGACTATTCATTAACAGAGCCAGGATTGGAACCTAGGGCCTCTGACTCTAAGTCATTGCACTATACCATACCACCTCTCATCAGTGGGTTTCTCTCTCTAGGAAGATTCACATTTTCTTTTCTTTCTTTTTTTTTAGGCAATCAGGGTTAAGTGATTTACCCAGGGTCAAAAAATCTAGTAAGTGTCTGAGGCCAGATTTGAACTCAGGTCCTCCTGAGTTTGATAGATTGATATTTTTAAAGAACACCTCAGGGTAAAGCAATGATCAGCGTGAAAGGAATGAAAGGGACTGGACCTGAGATTTCACTGGCATAGGGA